CACCACCTGCCCTGTCACTGCTGGAGAGTGATAGCCCATGGTGCGGTGGGGGCTCTGCCCCTGCTCCCCACAGTACACACCGAACACCTTTGGTCCCTGGCAGCTTGCTTTCTCCTCCTTTTCATAAGACTTGAGACATTTGTCCCCTCACACTGGTTCCAGGCTCCTTCCTGGACTCTCACTTGCCCCTGGCTCCACAGGTGCCCCCCCCCCCTTTGTGTTCGGTGACCTCCAGGCTGTGAACCCAGGTCAGATGCAGGTCCTGGGCTTTCGGCCCCAGTGGACTCCCTTTCCTTCCTGGAAACCCTCGCTGCTTGGACCAGCTCTGCCCTGCTTCCCCTCCCCGCTCGCCCCACTTGCTTCCCGCCCCCTCCTCCCTTGCAGCCCCCTTCCCTGGCCCTGGCCTCCTGGTCATTGCTGCGGGCCTCTCCAGCCTCACTCGGAAGGTAGATTCTTGTGCACACGTAGCTTCAAACACCATCTCTAGCTCTTAAGCCTTATACACGGACCTCCATTCTGCCGCTGCCACCGCCGCCTCTGAATCCCAAGTTTCACTCCATCTGTCTGCCGATGGGCCTTTCCCCCTAGTGTGGCCCATACCGTGCTCTGCGCTGCCCGCCTCCGCTGCCTGCTGGCCCCTCACACGGCTGGTCAGGTTCAGATTCTCTCTCTCTCTCTCTCTCTCTGCCAGCAGGAAATCCCAGGGGTGTCCTTGACTTGTGCTTTCTCTCAGTGCCAGCCCCACATCCAAAATCTGTGTACTTGTCCCCACCTCCACATCACCCCCATCCTGCCGCCACTCTGGCCTGAGCTGCTAGCCTCTCACCCCTGAGTGACTGCAGGGCTCTCCCAGGCCTCCCAGCGCTGCCCTTGCAGGCCCGGTAGGTTCCCCAGAGCCTAGGGAAGGCCTGATCCAGTGTACATCCAACCCCATCCGCCTCGCCCAACCCTCCATGGCCCTTTACCCCAGGAGAACCCAGGATTGAAGCCCCCTGAGCCGTCTCCAAGGCCTGCTCCAAGATAGAGCACTTACTCCTGACTGCCTGCCCCTGCTCCCAGACACCTGCCAGGGCCTTTGCCCTCACTGCTCCCTCTGCCAGGCAGCCTC